GTATTGTAAATCATTCCCATTACTTCAAAAGAGATACCTACTAAATAATGATAGTGATGTATGTACAGATGGTAAAAGATTCAGGGAAAAAAATCCCTTATAAGCTGATTGTCTAGAAATATTGTACGTTGTACAGTGAAAATAAACATGCTTATAGATTTTATATAAACATATACACATATTTGTATACACATATGTATTCATAATATATGAAGGGATGTTAAAAAACATGAAAAATAAGTTGAAGTATGAGTTTATTTACTTATTTAAATTGCCAGAGTGTGCATGCTCTCAGCAGAGAGAGCAAGAAAGTACCCCCAGTAGGGGCATGGTCATGCTAGAATCTCTTGTCTTCCTTTTCTCCATCCTGTTGGGATTTGGGGCATGCACATACACCTGCTGGCAATTCTCAAGCTATTGGGACTGGGATTCAAACTGAAGTCAGCCACTGCTCTATAGGGGCCAGCCTACAAGTTTATGATGTAAAATAAAATGAACTTTGAACTTCATGCATAGCTTTTGCACTCATAGCTTTTTTTTGTAATACACATTTTCTACAAACTTTTCAAAGACCCTTTATATACCTATGTATCATAAATGTCTGAAATGGGAGAAGGATCATGCGCTTTTTTTTTTTAAAGATATTTTTCTATAGGACATGTATGCTTACCAGAGAGACAGAGAGACAACGTGAGAAATCACCCACCATGGGGGATGGCCACACTGCAGTCCCTTTTCCTTCATTTGTCTTTTGGGATTTGGGGCACACATGCACATGTCCCCAGCGTGAGTTTTAAGTCAGCGGGTCCAGCATTCAAACTGTGGCTGACTACATGAGAGTTCAGCGATGTAATCATTATGCCATCTGCTGGTCCCAAAGATCATCCACGTTTTAACCAATTTGGGAAAAGAAAACTGGGACCATACATTCAGGAACAGGAGTCATTGGTCTCATCTACTAAAGGTAACTCCCTTAGCCTGGCAGAGGTTTTATCTCCTCAGGCTTCCTGCTCAGGGTCCTGTGTTCTCTTGTACTACTCGCAGGTGTCAGAGAAACTGTCTGAGAAGGAAAACCTGTGTCTTTTGATAGAAGAACTTGGTGGAATCGATAAAATTGAAGCTTTACAGCTTCATGAGAACCGTCAGATTGGCCAACTTGCTCTGACTATCATCGAGAAACACTTTGGTGAGGTTAGTGATTCAGAGGGTAAAGAAGGCCTATATATCCTGATGGGCCACCCCAGTAGGTCATCACCCTGCCAGTGTCTGTGTTGCCACTGGAGGCATATGACCAGGCTTCTCTGGCAGCCTTCTCTCTTGCCATGTGCTCTGAATTTAACTCTGAGGTTTCCCTGTCTGTGGTGTATAGGCCAACTTTGATAGCAGTTTCCAAATACCTGAAAGCCATTCTAATCTCATGGGTATTTGTACTTCTGCCTCTCATTTAATTTTACTTCCCTTCTTCTGGGGAGGGGCCTGGAGAGAATGGAGATGTGACAGTAAATCACTTCTTACCTAAGAATGCAACAACTAAGTCAGGTCCAGCTTTTGAAAAACTACTTTGTACTTACTGTACTTTGTCTTTCTAGAATGCAGTGTTTGGGAATGAACTCTACAAAAAGCTTTTAAGTTTTCTGGAATAATAGTCAGATACCATTAAACGTTTTTTATAACTTATTTTGTCTGGACTGGCCCCATGACCTAGTGGTTAAGGGAACAACAACCCATGTGGTTAACTGCATGGTTCAAATCTTAGTTTACTTCATATAACTGAGATAGTAGTAAGCTAATATTTGTGCATTTGCAAAATATTTGTCTTTTTATGACTTATTCCCAATCAGCATAATACCTTCAAAGCTTTTCCATGTTGTAGCATATGCAGCAAAATTTCATTCCTTTTTAAGGTTGAATAATAGTCTATTAAATGTGTATGCTACATTACATTACCATTTATCTGTCCACAGGCCTTTGGCTTGGTTCTACATTTGGCTATTGCTATAAATATTCCTATGAATATGGTATAAAATGTCTGTTATAGTCCCTGCTTCCAACTTTCAAGTATGTATTCAAAAGTGGGATTTCTGGATTATATGTTTTTTTTTTTTTTAATATTTTTGCCATATTGGGAGTGCACTGCTGGAGAGAGACAGAGAGGGAAAGTGAGAAATCACCCCTTGGGGAGAATGCCATTTCACAATCCCTTCTCTTCCATTTTCCTCTCAGGAATTTGGGCATGCATGCACCCACGCCCAGGGTGAATTTCAAGCTCCTGGGTTCAGGACTCGAACTGCAGCATCAGCCATGTGGGATCCATTGTCTTAACCACCATACCACCTGCTGGTCTAGTAATTTTAATTTTAATTTTTGAAGAACTGCTGTACTGTTTTCCATAGTGGATGCACCATCTCACATTTCTACCAACAGTGCACAAAGGTTTCCACTTCTTTATATCCTTTATACCCTTTATATCCAACCCTCACTATTTTCTGATTTTTTGATAATAGCCATCCTAATGAATATGAAGTCATATCTCATAGTGGTTTTGATTTTCATTTACATTCAGCACTTTTCCTCTGAAAAAGGTAAGTTCAAAGTTCTCAAATGGCCAAGTCAACATGAGACTAGGAATTTACAGAGTGAGCAACACTTACGTTAGGTGTTAAACTTGAATCATCAGTAAAATCCAGGTCTGTACAGTCATGACCAATATTGGCTGTTTCTCACTGGAGGCAGCTAATCTTGATTTGGGACCAAGAAGGTGATCTCAAAGCAGAGAAGACACAGATGGTGATGATCATCTTCTTGTTTAACAGTTCTTATGAAAACCTCTTAAATAGGAGATTAATCCTTTAAATGGAGATTAGTTTTCTGAAACTCATTCAAAAGCTCTAAGTCAAAGACCTCTGATCTTGAAGCAACAGCTAACCCGTTATATTCTTTATTGTAAGGATATTGTCCTACATATTTAAAAACTACACTTAAAAGTAAGCCATGCACTAAAGGACAAATACTGTATGATTCCACCTAGATGTGGTAACTAGAACAATCAAACTCATAGGGATAGAGAGTAGAATGTTGGTTGCCAGGGGCTAGAGGTAGGGGAAATGAGGCATTATTGTTTAATGGGGACACAGTTTTAGTCTGGAGTGATGGAAAAAGTTCTGAAGATGGTTGGCAGCAATGGTTGCACGGCAGTATGAATGTACATAGTGCTACTGAACTGTATATATTAAAATGGTTAAGAGGTGGTAAATTTTGTTATGCATGTTTTACCATATGTGCAAAACTGCATTTAAGATCTATCCTGACAAATATTTCAGTGTTCTCCTCTCTCCATTTCCCCCCATCCATTCCCCAAGGGACCTTCAGGGCCCACTTAGGTATATTCTAATGCACAAAATGTGTTGGAGTCAAATGTGCATTAATAACATGTTGAGAACCTAGAGATATAACAGTGTCTCTTCTCCCCTGAAGGAAGAAAATGATGACATAATTTTACCAGTCCAGGACCAAGATTCTGAATTCCTAAAATATTTTAGAAAATAGCAAAGCTCCACAACTTCTAAACCAACAATCAAATGCTAAAGGATCATTTCTGTAAGAAGCGGCTCTCCTATATCTTAGTGTATCACAAATGTAAAGTTTTTAAAACTTGATGCTAATAAAATATTCAATGCTTTCATCTTTATAAAAAATTCAGTTAACCACTTGCATCCTAAAACAATATGGAATTATCTCCTGAAACCAGTTGGTTGGGCTGACTCCATTATGCAGTGGTTAAGAAAGCTGGATCCCACATGGCTGACTGAAGTTTGAATTGTGCTAGGCATGTGCATGTGCATGCCTAAAATCCCAAAGGATGGAGAAATAGAGAAGGGATTGAGGTGTGATCATGTCCCATTGAGAGATGTGCTCTTCCTCTCCCTCCCTCCCTCCCTCCCTCCCTCCCTCTCTCTCTCTCTCTCTCTCTCTCTCTCGTAAGCACACAATGCCCTCTGGCAATTACCAAAAAAAAGTAAGAACTTTGAAACAGAGTAGGATGGTTGATAGATATCTGTCTGGAAAACTCAGACTTGTAGATATAATAACACTGATTCTCAGCACCACAGGGACAGCGTTAGGTCTTAGCTTTCTTTCCTATCATTCTGACACCATGATGGGTTCTAAGATGACAATTCTCCCTACTAATGTAAAATCCTTCTTATCCTCCCTAGAATGTTTGAGTGCGGTTTTTGAAAGCAATCATCAATGATTTAGAGCACTTCTCCCTCATAGGGGAGACCAACTCTGTCTTTGTACCTTTAAACAATATACTTCTCTGTACATTTATTTGATCAACTTTAGTATTTTACTTTATCTTGGTAGTGAATTAATTTTAAAAATGACCTCAGTCTTTCTCCATATTCATACCTTTTGCAATGTGACTTTATGATAGTTTCCTCAGCCCTCATCTATCAGGAAGTAGCATCTGTTTTCCTATCCCTTGAATCCAGTGTAGGTCATGAACTTGCTTTGGCCTTTAGAACATAGTATTAGTTCTAAGGCTAAGCCTCTAAAATGTCATATGCTCCTGCTGTCATGAAGTTGCACCACGGTCATTATACAAGTTTGAGTTAGCCTGCTGAAGGATGAGGGACTTGTGGAGGAGAGACTATTCTAAGCCAGCCAATAGCCTTCTAATCCCAAAGAAGTAATGAATATCAACAGAGCTGCTCCTCTGACCCACAGGTGCTTGAGGGAGGCTGGATGTGATGAGAATGATCTATTGGGTTGTCAGAAAAGTCATGGCGTATTTTCTGTGCAAAAATGTCATGAGTTTTCCGTCAGCCCAATAGTTGACCCTTACACTAGTGAGCAATAATGAATGCTTATTTAACCCACTGAGTTTTAGGGTGGCTTATCATTCAATAATAATTGAAAAATAACCAATTTAACATATACCCTCTCTGCCTGTATTCATTTCTACTTCTCTCAGATGCTATTTTATTTTACTTTCATATCATCACAGATAACTTAGAGTTTGCTCTAGACTTCAACAAGGCTCTGGGATCTTCAGATATATTTAAATTAAAAATTAGACAGTATTTACATAATTACAATGTAACTGTATGGTACTGGCTCTAATAGTGGCTCTCGAATTCAACTTTCTTCTAGGTCCAGCCATAGGGCTTAAGGGATGCTCAAAAGATGTTTCAAATCTCAAATATAGTCTTGTCTCCCAATGGTTGAAATTATGTAATTTTTTACATTTTTGTACTTGGATCGTGACCTTATTATACAGCTTTGTTTTCATATTTTAAGTTGACTATGATACAACTTAAATGCATGCTTTAAAGTCTCTAGCTCTATTAGGTAAGAAAAGAGTAGTTGCTGCCTTTTCCAAATGCCCACTCCACGTTGCCCATCCCCAGAGGCCAGCAGTTTCTACTCTTAGGTTGATTTCTTTTGGTATTTACTTTCATAACATGCTTATGCTGTATTTAAAGATTTGTAAATTTATGAAAGAGATACCGATTTTTATACCACCTCCCAATTTTACCATCATGGACAGCTAATTTTTGTTAACTTGATGTCAGGTTTTTACCTTGATTGTGTAAATTTTAGTCAGAATTTTGTTTTTCTTAGGATTAACATACATCTTCATGTGTTGTGTTTTTCTTGGACTTACTTTTACCACATTTTCTGCTGAAAGTGTAAACCTCCTGAATGTGTTCAGGTACATTAATAATCTATCAGCATTCTTGCCATCCACATCTATCAGAGCCCTTTGTCTTCCTGCTCCAGCCTGGAGCAATTGCCCCCTACCCTAAGGACTCATTTGTCATCCTAGGACCTCCTTTTACCATCATCCTAGGAGCTCTTCTCTCCTCCTGGGTTGGTTTGCCTGCTTCCTGGATCCCATGTCTGCCTTGACTTACTTTCAGTAGAGTGTATCCTCCGGTGACTTCAGAGAGAGGGCACATAGGTTAAGTTTCAGGCACTGCTTGTCTGAAAATGTGTACTTCATTTGGACTCTTGGTTGAAAAATCAGCAGGATGCAGAGTTCCTGAGTGGAACTATTACCTTCAGAGTGTTGCGGGCACTGCCCAGTATCATCTAGCCTTCAGCACTGGACTCACACTCTTCTCCTCTGATCCTCAATCATTCATGTGTGACTCCCCACTTCTAGCCCCACCAAGTGAAGTTTGCAGAGCTTTTCTCCAGTATTCTTTTTTTAAAAATTTTTTATTTTATTTTATTTTTTTGAGAGGTTTTTGCTATAGGGCGCGTGCACTCGCCAGACAGACAGAGACAGAGAGACAGAAAGCGAGAAATCACCCCCCAGGGGGGATGGCCACACCACAACCCCTTCTCCTCTGTTCTCCTCTCGGGATCTTGGGCACGCACGCACACACGCCCATTGTGAGTTTTAAGCCACCGGGTCCGGGACGTGAACCACGGTTGACTACACCATTATGCTAACTGCTGGTTCCTCCTGTATTCTTAAGTGTGATATAGTGTGTATGTAGAAAGATTTGTTTTCTTTCTTAAGGTCTTTCTTCAGAGAGAGAGAGAAATCGCATCAATAGAGTCTTGATGCCATGGGGACCCCTAGTCCTCAGTCAGCCTTGGATCATGGCAAGTGCATGCCTGGCTTACTCAGAGCGGTCTCTAGACTTGAACCAGAAGCCTTCCCACTTGGATGCCTTGCAGAGCATTGTGTGTTTTTATCACTGTACCACCATCTGGCTCTAGGAAGCTATTTTCTACATATTCAAGGATGAGCCTTGCAGTCTAGAATCATGTCCATTAGTACTTTTTTTTTAAAAAAGAGAAAGAGGCCAGATGGAGGTTTAAGAGTAAAACACAATGCTCTGTGAGGCTGGCACACATGGGAGGGTTCGGGGTTTGCATCTGGAGACCTCCCTGAACACACCAGACACATGTGTACCCATGATCGGGAGCTGGCTAAAACTGGGGGTGAATTGTGGCATCAAGATCCTGTTGGGGAAGGGACCAGCAGTTAGTGTAATGGCTATGTCGCTGGACTCCCATGTAGTCGACTGCGGTTCGTGTCCCGGACCCACTGGCTTAAAACTCATGCTGGGTGCGTGTGCATGCGTGCCCAAGATCCCGAGGGGAGAATGGAGAAGGGATTGCAGCATGGCCATCCCCCCTGGGGGGCGATTTCTTGCTTTCCATCTCTCTGTCTCTCTCTATCTGTCTGACGAGCGCACGCGCCCTATAGCAAAAGCCTACCCCCCCCAAAAAAAAGGATCCTGTTGGGGATATGAGCTTGCTCACTTGCTCTCTCTAGAAAGAAATGGGATAAACTTAAATTTTTTTTAAGAGAGGAAAATTTAGCCTGCCTCTGGCTTGGTAGTCAAGGGAACTAGATCCCACATAGCCAACTGCATAGTTCAAGTCCCAGACCTGACAGCTTGAAAAACATTCTGGGCACGTGTGCACAAGAGGAGGAGAGATGGAGAAGGGATTGTGGCATCACCATTTCCCATAGTGATTACTTCCTCTCCCCCTACCCACACCATCTCTTTCTGTAGTGAGTACACATGCCCCTCTGAAAAATTAAACGAAAAGACAGAAGAGAAAATTATCCCTTCCCCTTTTCTTTTTCCTGGACTTCTGTTTAGCCATTGGCTTTCCAGAAATGCTCTAATTTTCTTGTCCCATTCTTTCTTGTTTTCCATCTTTGTCTTTACTGTCTGGGTTATTTATTTCATGTTATCTTATCTCTTCTTCCAGGCTTTTCATTTCTACAGTCACTTAATTTGAGGAATTTTGTTTACACAGATTTCCCCTTTAAAGCTACCTCTTTCATTAATGCAAGATCCTATCTCTGACGTTATCAACTCTAGCTTTGTTCAGGCATTGATTCTGTGAGGGTTTGTGTCTGGTGTCCTTGGCTTTCTGCTCATATTAGAAAGGTCCTCGGGCTGATTGGAGCTATGGTGGGGCTTGTCATTGGTAATCATCCACTGTGTGACCTTGTAGGAACTTGGCCATTCTAACTGATGATTTCAGCCATTGGATCTGTAGATCTTTTCTAATGGGTTGGTTAATTTTCTGGAGGAATCCTTCAACTTTTTACCTGAGAAACATGTTTATCTCCTTCCATTCTCTGGTCAGGGCACAGGAACAACCCTGGCTTGTTTGTGTTCAATAAATAAAATATTTACTTACTCTTCATTTTCAGTATCCCCCTCAACTGTGGCTCTCACCAAGGCTGGTGCTATTATAGTCCTCCTCCCAGGACACCTCTGAGCTTTCAGGCTGGGAGCTCAAAATTCAATGTAATTAGGGTTTGCATTACACTGATGGAGGGTTTGGAGGTGGGAAGCACCTCCAAAGTGCTACATGTGCTTTAAAGTTCTTTAAAGTGGGAGCAGATGTATCCTCATTCAAGATCAAGAGATGTTTCAAGAAGGTGAAGACAAAAACACTGAAGAATGATGGGCCAGAGTTACTCTGCTAATCTCACTGAAGTTTATTACTCTGTGTGTGTGTGTGTAGTGGGGGTGGAGGAGTCGGTCCTGCTGTGTGGGGGACACTGACACCCCTCATCACCACATTGCTCAGAGCACTGGTTGTGGCCACCTGCCTAA